TCCTTACCTTCTTCCTCCCCTTCCTAGGGAGGTGATGGCTACGTGGACACTGAGAGCAAATTTCTGAAACTGGTGGCTGCCATCAAAACCGCCTTGGCTCGGGGCTAATGTGCCCTAAAGGCAGAGGTGAGGGGTGCCCGCTGAGATGGGGATGCCACCCTTTGGATACTTCCCCACTCATGCTGTGACTCACTGGCCCAGGGTGGAGGGTCTAGAAGGTGGGTGCACAGCAGCTGTGTCCCCAGAGTAAGTGGCTTAGTGTGGTGCAGGATGACACCTAAGGTGGTAATGTGGTCAGAGGACTGCCCTAAAAAGATCTGGTTTGGGAATGAAAAGTGCCAAAGTGACCCAACAGTTCAGAAACTTGGCTTTGTCCCATTACCAGAACCCAGCCCAGCACCCATGTGACTGTCAGCCCAAGACCCAACATGTTTTGAGACAAAATTCCCATGTCCAACACTTTCGTCTGGATTGTTAATTGTTATCAGGCTCTGAATAGAAACAAAAGCTAATTCTAGAACTGATCACCTGCTGTAAAACTACCCTAGAACTGACTCCTAATTCCCATGGTCTAGAATGAACTACATTCCCAGCTCCAAGTGCCATCCATCCAGGCCCCCTCCCAGCCCAGCACTGGAGAAGTGAGAACCAGCCCTACCTGAGCACAAGTGTTGACTCATCGTTCCTAAGGCTGACTAGGTCCTTATGCCCTTGGCCTAGTACTAGTTTCTACCCTGATCACTACTGATCACAAGTAGTAATTTCCATGTTACCCCTGGGAATATATAACAGCTTTCCAGCACCCTCTGAGTGTGATTTTCCAGTTTTGATGCTGTAATAATACATTTCAGATAAGCTGCAGTTCCTAGCCCAGTTTAGAATTAATATCTGGTTTCTAACATAAGAACCTAGAACATATATTCTACCCTCCTCTGAATTTCAGTACAGTTTCCACCTCCTGGTGGTCTAGGATGGAGAATGCCATCCCTGTACACTGGGGACCCATGTACCCGCTCCCACTGTGCTCTGTGCCAGAAACTTGTTTCAAATGTTTTAAACGGAAGTTACATTTCCTAGAATTCTTTACCAGAGCAGAATGAGGTCACGTTCAATGTCAGTTGAGACATATAAATTAGAAGTCTTATAGTCCAGTAATACAAATAATGTCTTGCCTCATGTGCAGTCTGAGAGGAAATAAATTGCCCCCAATAACAGAAACAATTGTGGGCCACTACTATAAAGGGGGCAAAGGGCGTGGGGGCTGCGTGCCACTATGGCAGGGTTTGAAGTCCTGAGGATTCAAATGGACCTCCCTTTCGTAAGCACCATCTGGCAGTTCCACCCTGTCCATAGCTCAAACTTTTGTCTTAATTCAGCTAGAAATTTACTTGGATTCCAGAAAGGTTAAACCCATAGATGATTTCATCCAGTGGGAGCAAAAATGGGATTTATATAAGAAATAGGGAGAGAGAGGCTCAGTGCCTGAAGCACAGTGGTTACGGTGCAAGCTACATACACCAAGGGTGG